TCACCTGGGTATGATTTCAAGTGGTGTTTCTTTCTGCTGGCTGGGCACTGTTGATACATAGCACAAGGCTGAAAATAAATCACAGCTCTTGCCATCATCTCAAAATACTGACATGTGGAATGGCTACATGGGAAAGAGTTGCCATTTGGGGAGGCACTGCTGCTACCTCCGTGCCTATTGATGGCAGCCCATTTTTGAACTATTGGTATGAAGAGAGAGAGAGAGAGGAAAAAGATCTTTATGGTTCCCATAGAGCAGCAAAATGCTTAGGGAGCTGATACAGTCTCCACATGGTAATATGTTTGGTCTTGCTCATATAGACATTGGAGATTGAGTGGTGGGATGTTTCTGGGCCAGATGAAAAAAGGGAGCAGCCCTTGTTCACCGAGACTGTGTACAGCCAAAAGGGAAACTGGGAAGGAAACCATCCTGCAAGGCCAAGATGCGGTGGAAATGAAATGTGCCATGATCCTTCAGTTGCAAGTCCCTTATACATTTTTCACTATGCCCCTGCTCTTTTATCAGGCAGGGGATCGGGTGACTGGATTACAACTTCTTATCCAGTTATGATCCCTGGTCAGTTCAGTCAAAGGTAAATTCCTTCTGCTCTTAGTGAAACAATTTACACTCTGTTTTTACTCTCCTTTATTATTTTAACACTCCATATGGACAAAATTTGACCTACAGGCCCTCCTGCGTGGGTTCTTCATTTCTACTGCAGATGCTGCACCTTCAGAGATGTTTTGCTGTTGATCTGGAGCTCCAGATTAGGAATCTTAGTAGGATGGTTGTAGCCTAATTGGGAAAGGTGGTCTGATTTGTGCAGGAGACAGGTGTGTCACCACACCTTAGCGATTACTGTTCCAGTTGCTTTTCTGGAAGGGCCAAGAAGATCAGGGAGGTACAGAGATCCATGTGTTTTTCATTGTCAGTATGTCATCTTCAGCGTGTTGAGCTGTTTCATAGCTAGTGTTTTATTGCCAAAAGAGTAGAACATCTGATGTTAAGAGTGGACTTGGGTAGGAAGAATTTGTCATGCTTCAGTGGCCTGAGTCAACTTTCCCCAGCTCTCTCCGTCCAGATAATTGGGGTGATTGCTCCAGTCATCCGTAGTCATTGTACCTTGTAGCTGTAGATAATCTGAGTAAGTAGTCCAGAGCAGATGAGGAGAGGCTGATGTGAGCTTTTTAAAGATTATTATTTCTAGCTGAAAAACAGGCATATGCAAACTAAGGCCCTCTTAACCTGCCAATACTTAAGTGGCTCAATTAAAATACCACCAGATCCATGCAGGATCTGACACGGAGAGGTATTTCTTGGAAGCTGCCTAGAGTGGTTGTAAGACTAGATGGGCAGGGTATTAAATAAATAAATAAATAATTTCTTGCAAGGTAGAAATGCTGGGGAAGAAGATAAGAAGTGTGGAGTTCATTTTTTTCTTCTATTCAAATATAGTGTAAATGTATTGCACATCTTAATGTCTCTGTGCAGGTGCCAGTGGGCTTCAGCAGTAGGCTTTGAAAAAGGGGGAAAGATTGAAGACCCCTCCCCCCAAAAGTGGAATCAGTTGATTTGATGGAGGTTAAGCTCAATTGCTACTTCCCTTCGCCTACTATCCAGGTGTTCTGGGCCGCACCTTCAGAGTGCGGAAGTCAGGGACCTCTGGAGGACAACAGGTTGAGGAGGTTCTTCCTGCATCATTTGTAGGCATCCTTCAGTCTCAAGAGACGATGGTATTGTGCTCTGAATAGAGGTCTTGGAACAGCATCTAGTGGCGCTGAGAAGGCCAATTCGAGAGTGACCATCCCTTCCACCCTGAAGACAAATACAATCTGTCCCCTCTCCAGCTCCCTGGTTTTGCTGGTTTCAGAATGGCCTCGTTGCCTTGGCCTGCTGGACAAGGGTCTCTTCAAATTGGGAGAGGCCGTGATGCACCCCCTGCCTCCAGGCTGAACGCTCAGACGTCAAGGTTTCCATTCTGTGAAGGTCCATTCCTAAGACCTTCAGATCCCGCTTGCGGATCTCCTTGTATCGCAGCTGTGGTCTCCCTCTGGGGTGATTTCCCTGCACTAAGTCTCCATACAGGAGATCTTTTGGAATCCAACTGTCAGTCATTCCCCTCTGTCACAACTGGCTGCCATAGTCCAAATAGCTGGTTCGGCCTCCCTCCTCGAACTCAGTGGCTGGACTACATTATCCCAGTGGTTTTTAACACAGGTGCTCCTCTCGGCAAAAGTCACTTGCTGTGTTTATATTAAAGTATAATTACTCTGTTCTCCCCTCTATTTAGGGTTGTGAAGCATCATGTGATACCTCAAGTAAGCACAAACAGGAAAAACCAGCCTCTTGTTTCTCGAACCACCTGCCTTCCTCTCATGAGGACTTGCAAAGATGAGGGGAAGGACAGATGTGTTAGATACAATACACAGCCTCACTCCTGAAACCTCACACACACCTCTTGATTGTTACACACCTCTTGTCCTAATTACTGGTATTCATCCAAGGAGTACATAAGAGAAGGAAAATAAAATCGGGGGGAGGGGGAGGAGGTATATGCAGCACAGTAGTATCAGTGGGGTGTGTATTAAAATGATGATTTGGTGTCTCTGGAATCTGAAGCATGCAGATAGTTATAGCTGAAGGCGTGTCTCTTGACCACGGCTTAAGAATTTTTTCTACCGTAATTACTAGTTTGAACATTTGCTTCAGTTTTGAGATTGTGAACTTCTGTTTGGGCATCTGTGTTTGTCTGTGATGCAGAGTGCCTCTCTCCAAACAGCAGTACTGGGAAGGGGGCTGCATTTTATAGGGCAGGTCTTGTCTGCATTAATCATGTTGTTGTTTAGTCGTGTCCGTGACCCCATGAACCAGAGCACGCCAAGCCCTCCTGTCTTCCTCTGCCTCCCGGAGATGGGTCAAATTCATGTTGGTTGCTTCAATGACCCTGTCCAACCACCTCGTCCTCTGACATCCCTTTCTCCTCTTGCCCTAACACTTTCCCAACATCACAGTCTTTTCCAGGGAGTCTTCTCTTCTCTTGAGATGGCCAAAGGATTGGAGGCTCAGCTTCAGGATCTGTCCTTCCAGTCAGAACTCAGGGCTGATTTCCTTCAGAATGGAGCATTAATCATACCTTGACACAAAGTCTGCAGGCCAAGAAGGCAGCCCGTAGACCTGCCCTCAGTTTATAATCCCACTATGCCAGACACTTTTGCTTGGGCAAGTTTTATGTCATATGCAAGGACTGAAGTGATAAGCCTGTTCTAGGACCAACTCCTCCTCCGATAGGTGTCTGGAATCAAGTCTTGTGTTGAATTAGATTCACTTAGGTGCCAGTCTGAGAGACCGTGTGGTGTAGTGGGCACAGTGACGGACTATGACTCGGGAGGTCTGGGTTCAAATCCTCTGTTTGGCCATGGAAGCTCCCTGGGGGTGTAGAACTGGTAAAACCACTCCTGGAACCTCTTACATAACTTGGAAACCATGTTGTAGTTGATGTACATTGGGTACAGAGGTGCCTCGCTTTACGATTGCCCTGCATTATGACGAACCCGCTTTACAACGATCTTTTTGCGATTGCAAAACGATGATCGAAATGGGGAAATTTCGCTTTGCGATGATCGGTTCGCTGCTTCGGGAACTGATTCTTCGCAAAACGATGATTTTTAAAAAGCTGATTGGCGGTTTCAAAATGGCCACCGAGTAAATAAAATGGCTCCCCGCAGTGTTTAGGGACAGATTCCTCGCTATACAGGCAGCAAAAATGGCTGCCGTATGGAGGATCTTCACTGGACAATCAGTTTTAAGCCCGTTGGAACATATTGAAAGGTTTTCAGTGCATTTCAATGGGTTTTTAATTTTCGCTTTACGATGTTTTTGCTTAACGGTGATTTTCCTGGAACAGATTATCCTCGTTAAGCGAGGCACCACTTTACATCAATTGGACAGGGGACAGATTGTATTTGTCTTCAGTATGGAAGGGATTGTCACTCTCGAATTGCCCTTCTTGGCCATACTAGAAGCTGTTTCAAGATCTCTGTTCAGAGCTCATTACCATAGTTTCTTGAGACTGAAGGATGCCTACTATTGGGTACAATTCGGTGGAACATAACACAGATGGTGCATGAGGTCTCCAGCTTAGTTTCAGTAAAAATACATTTTCTTTGCATATGGACTGCCTCTGTGCAGCTGGGACTTAAATTTGACAAGAGAATATTGAGGTGGAGGAAAGAAGGACATGATGAGGAATCCCTGAAATGAGGGCACATGCTGCATTTCCACGTTCTTTTCTAGCTTTCTGTTCAGCAGACTTAATGAAACTGTACCTGTTGGGACTCAGTGGATTTTTTTTGAGTGAAGGCTTCTCTAATGTGAAGCTCTAATGTCTTCCTTGCCACACTGCTTACAATGTCATTCCCGGTTGTAAGATGGGCTGAGAACAAAATGTGGCACTTAGAGTTTGAAAAGAGTGATTAAAAGACACTGCACCCCCTTACTAAAAAACAAACACACAAACATCCATATGAAATCTATGCAGTGTGTCTTTTCTGTCTGGTAGCATCCAACTTGATCTGTGTGTTGTTGTTTGATTTGAAAGTTTAGATCTATGCAAGGTTCAGTGTGCATGTAGAGTTTATTTAGAAAACGGCCCCTTTGAACCATGAAAGTGGTACAACTGCAGAGATGGAGAAGAAGAGGAGGGCTGCATTTTAAGTCCTTTGCCTCTCTGTGTTCCCTTACTCAGTAAAGGTGCCACTGTCTTCTTCACTTTGCAGTTTTTTTTTAGGACTGTAGTACATGACTTTATCAAGCAAACACCACTTTTAAAGCGTAAAGATCTGGAAAAATGTCAGCATGGGGAAACAACTAAATATAGGCAGCCTGGCTTCCCAAGGGATTAAGGTATAGAAGTACAGATCAAATCCAGCTAGACTTCAAGCTCTGTGCAAGGAGAGATTGAATATAAGGCCTCTGAAGTTCTGATTTCCATTCTCTTGCAGTGTACAAATGGTCACTTGATGTGTGCTGGATGTTTCATCCACCTCCTGGCAGACGCCCGACTGAAGGAGGAGCAGGCTACGTGTCCCAACTGTCGCTGTGAGATCAGCAAGAGTCTCTGCTGCCGAAACCTTGCGGTAGAAAAGGCCGTGAGCGAGCTGCCATCGGAGTGTGGCTTCTGCATGCGGCAGTTTCCACGTTCTCTTCTGGAGAGACATCAGAAAGAAGAGTGCCAGGACAGGTAGGCAGCCTTGCTTCTTCTCCAAGAGGTGCTCCTCTTGATGAGCATTCACAGGCTGGGATGGGCAGACCTTGAAGCGGTCTGGAGAGGAAAATGGGTGGTTGCCGCCAGTCATCAGCGGAGCTGGGTTGTGTGATGCTCTTCCGAGAAACGCTTCTGTGTGTGCTGGTGCAAGAATGAATGAAGGTGATGCACTTGAGGAAAAGGAGAGTCAGCACAGCTTAATGCAGAGTGTCTCATGCTAGTGCTAAAATCAACCACACCTGTCTTTACATGTTGTGCATTTGTAGAGTCTGATTTGTTATACAGACAAGGGGAGAGGTCTCGCCGACAGCCTCAGGTAAGTGTGGTGGTGGGCACCATGCATTCCATGTTTGAGGTTGCTAAGGGCTTGACAGTAAAACTCCCGATACTGTAGTGCCTTATGGTACCATCCCATTTGGAAGACAGAGCATGTCCCTGTCTCAGAAAATATGTCCCAGACTAGGAAGCGATGTCAGACGTGGTGCTGCCGTCCAGTATATGAGGGATGTAAGACGTGTTGAAGAAAGTGTGGTTTGTTTCTAGGACCACACTGTTCAAAATATGGTTTTGAAACCTTTACCTCCTGAGGTTGGAGGCTTTACGGGTGCCTTTCTTTTCTCTTAAAATGTGGCTGCAAGAACATAGGAAGTTTATGAAATTAGGAATGACAGCAAGATTGTGGAAAGAAACATGTTCTGTATGAGCTTACAGGGACCATCCGTTGATAGCAGGTTCAGGACAGACTGGAGGAAGGGGCTGTAAGCGTGGAGCCTTGTAATGAAGAATGTGATACATTCTGCCTTGCATAAATGGGTAATGACTAGAGGGACCCCTGATCTCTTCCAATATGGCAATTCCATCTTGAGGCTACCATATATTCCATAACTATCTTCAGTTGCAGCTGGAATGATGCCTTATGCTTCCGAAGGTGTTTCAGAAGCTTGCAGGGGATGGTGCCGAGGAACTGCTACTCTTGGACCCCCACAGCATTCCTTTCCCGTAGGTGCTGGGAGTTTCCAGCACTAAATCAGTAACATGGCAATGGAACAGCTTTGGCTTTCTAGCATTTACCCATGTGCTCAAAATGTATTGTGTAAATGGCATTTTGCAGAAACATTCTAAAACGGTTGTGCAAGCACATTCATTAAATTTTCTTAAATGAGGGAAGTAAGAGGTGTGGAGAGGAAGGGAGAACTTGCATAGTCTGTGATACAAACATGGGCATAATCCTGGAGGAGGCTCAGCTTCTGAGTCCCATAAACAGCTGCCATGAAAAGTTGTGGCCACTGCACCACTGCTTCAGGAGAGAAAGGGGATGCACAGTCATGCATCGAGAACAGCTGGATCTGGAATCCCGTGGCCTTCTTTGACATATGTTGTAGCCCCACGTTCTAGTTGGCCGAAGATTGATCATAGTTTACGCCTTTGTAACATCCGGCGTGCTGTGCCCTCTGCCTTCCACCCAAGTGGCTATTTGAGTGTTGCCTTCCTTTTCAATTGCAGGGTGACCCGGTGCAAGTACAAGCGGATTGGGTGTCCGTGGCAAGGTCCTTACCATGAGCTCACTGTACATGAGGCGGAATGCACTCACCCAGCCAAGACTGGGAATGAGCTGATGGAGATCCTGGATGAAATGGACCAAACGCATAAAAAGGAGATGCAGCTATACAATAGCATCTTTGGCCTACTCAGCTTTGAGAAGATTGGCTACACAGGTAATTGTTGGGATTCAGTCAGGCTGTGGAGTAACGCTGCTGAAATCATGTTGGGTTTTTAAATATATATCCTTTCTCTTTCCTTGACACGTTGGTGTTGGTTGTCTACTGATGAACTTGTTTCTCTTATGCAACATACAGTGGCTGTTCCTCTAGCTTACAAGATATCTCAAGTGTCCGCCCCAGGAAGGCCCTCTGCCCTCTGGTTTGTGCTTAACGGTGTGTGTATGTTTAAAATGCTTTACATGACCTTGAGGAAAGAGGGAGGAACGTGAGAGGAGCAAAGCTAATGCTGCATTTTTGAAACTGCCTCTACCTGTGCAGGGGCTGGCTCCTTAGGCAGAACTCACTGGTTCTTTGGTATTCTTCTTGCTGAGTAGCCTACAGGGCAGCACTGATGTCATGTGGAAGAAGACCCTTCCTCGCAGCAGGTAAGGCACTGCAGCTGCATGGCAGTCAAAGCCACAGGGTTTAGGGCTACAACCATTGTTGGTTCTGATAGAGTGTGTCTGTGTGTGTCTGTATGCGTGCGCTCTGAATTGTGAATTCTCTCTGGTTTGGGGTTCTGAGTTATTAATAGAAAGCAGCCACCATATGTACATAACAGCCCTTCCTTGTAGAATAAAGTATTGTACCATTTCTAGCTTAGGACCCAATTCCTGTCTAGTGGATTAACTAACTGTTCATGTGGTTACTATGTACAGTATATCCTGAGAGTTTGTGTCTGGGAGGCTTTCCCTCCCATGGCAATTTCAAAATGATCTGTAATTTTCCAGTGTAAACATTTATGCTTTTCTTGACCTTTGGCACAAGTATCTCAAACGTGTGTGTTTTTGTTGTGTGTGCAAACTGTAAATAAAAATATTCAGGGTTAAGGGGGGGGAAGGTGGTATTTAAGCTGAAGGAGATAAATTGCCTTTGAAGGTAAGTTTCAGACTCTTCTCACTGTTAATCTTTACGTAGGCTTGAACAGTGGCTTGGCAGATAGTATGGAAAAGTTACTGTTTAATGACTGTAGGGTTTCCTGAAGGTGGGAGGGAGACTTGGTGCTGAAATCCTTTTCTTTTGCTCTTTACCTTTCCAATGTAAACGACGTGCTTGGATTTAACCTTCTGTCTCTAGTGAATCCTCCCCCTTGATCCAGCACGTGCTGGGTCCTGAAATGATGATGGTGTTTGTCTGAGCTCACTTAGAGGAGGTGCTTTAGAGCTTGCCAAGCAAGGGACGCATTGAGTCCTGGTGATTTCCAGTTGTGACCAGCTGCCTCCTTCCTGAGAAGTGCATTGCTACCAGTGGGCGCTCTGTAAGGCAGTCGGAAGTGGGATCGCAGACAAGTCCCTTTGGACTTTTCTGAGGCTGCCGGAACTGAATGGCTCTGTGGTGAGCCAGGCGGTGCCTTGATGGTATGGCAGAGGGGGAGGGTGGAGTGGGACTCAGCCTGCGTAGGTTGAAAGTTGGGTGCTGAGCATGGCGTTCGCCCATCCAGTGTCTTTGGACACTGTGCAGCTTCTGCCTGTAAGAGAAGAGAGGCAGAGACCTTCTCTGCTCTAGAAAGGAGATGACTTCTGTCTGGAGAGGCAGGTGCTGCTTGACGTGGAGAGAACAAAAAGGGCTGAATCGGGCTGATTGTGTGGCTTGAATAACTCCATCGCCTCCTTTGTCCAGGTGTCGCTGCCGTGCCCTCGTAATGGTCCTCTGGAAACACCGAAGAATGCATAAATGCATACAGAGGGTCCCTGCCCCTGAGTTTGTCCTGTGAGATTCCATGGGTTTTGTACACCAAAGACTTTTAAAACACTGAGCCAACAGTTACGATAAACTTGAACAAAACAAAGCACTTCATGGCACTGTGGACTCTGCCGGAGAAGGGGTTTTAACAGACTTGACACTGGACTGTGCCAAACCATTTGGGTCTAAAATTGAATAGAGTTTGTACGGTGAACACCTGCAGAAGGCCCTCTCTTCTCTACCTCACCCCATTGCCCCATTTCTTGGTTTGTATTGTGGCGATACACAGCTGTGCCTTGCTCTTCTAAAGATTGTATTACTGATTCCTGCCAAATAAAGGAGTTGTGTTACATGAATTGTGTTGTCTGACTTGGTCTTTATACACCTGTGTGTTGGTATAAGCACCTGTAATGCATCCCAGAGCCTCTTCCTCTTTTCTGCAATGCTGAATGAACATAATGCCTCCTTCAGTGCTTGCCCATGTCTCCAGAAATCTTTTAAGCCGGTCCCTGAAGAGGCCCTTCACCTTGCCGTTCTTGAGAGCCAGGCTTCTGTCTTAAGGTCTGAATGTCAGAGCTGAGAGGTCACTGCTCTTGCTGATTTCTTGAGGAAGTGGTCTATGTGCTATCCTCCAAGACAGGATTGATGCAGAGAATTGGAGCATCAGGCAAGAAGGCCGAAGACAACCTCTGTGATGAAATACACTTTCCACGCCCTTTGGATGAACCGTTACGGGTTAGAAATGCTTCTGCCTCCAGACACACCTGGCCACTGAACGTTGATTCTGAGATGGCCAGCTTGTAGCGCTGCTGCCACCGCCGAGTTCTTCCGTGGCTGAGAAGTTATGGCCACGTTACAGATGGGATGTTTGCCAGTGCAGTGGTTGCATTGGTCGTACTGCGATTTCACTGCCATTGCTCTCTCTCTCTCTCCCTCTCCTTAAATCTTTAGGAATGATGAAACTGTATTGTGGTTTTTAAGTGATATAAATGCATTGATGTTTTTATCTCCTTCTCTCCTCTTCCCCCCCTCCCCCCTCCTTCCAAGAAGCCAAGGTGCTTCTGCCCCTAACTAGCTCTGAATGGCTACTCTCACCTTGTTCTCCTTACGTCCTGGGAAAGAAGGTCCCACCCAGTAGCTACAGGTAACTTGAGCTTTGTTTTTTCCTGCTGCCAACGTCTCCGTCCTAACTGGCTGTGCCTCTTCCTTTCTTCCACCACCCCCGCCCCTCTTTCTTGCTCTCTTGCAGAGGTTCAGTTCCGTCCTTACAGAACAGACGACTTCATCACCCGGCTGTACTACGAGACGCCGAGGTTCACCGTGCTGAACCAAACCTGGGTGTTGAAAGCCCGGGTCAACGACTCGGAGCGCAACCCGAACTTGTCATGCAAACGGACCCTCTCCTTCCAGCTCATCCTGAAGAGCAAGATCAACTCCCCCATGGAGTGCTCGTTCCTGCTGCTCAAGGGACCGTACGATGACGTGAAAATCAACCCTGTGATCTATCACTTTGTCTTTACCAACGAGAACAATGAAACGGACTACGTCCCGCTCCCCATCATAGACTCTGTGGAATGTAACAAATTGCTGGCAGCCAAGAACATCAACCTGCGTCTCTTTATATTCCAGATACAGAAGTAAGCATAAACAGAGCTTGGCTTTCCAGGAGAGAGAGAAAGCAAGCCAAGCAAGCAAGCGAGAGAGAGAGAGTGCACCACTGAACCAGAGTTACCTCGTATGGCTGCCTCGGCCCTTTTATGTTCCACATTTATTTGGTTATTTTAAAAAGAACATTTTTGCATGTGTGGTATACAACAGCTTTGAGCAGTTGCTGCCTTCCTCATCTCTCTCTCCATTTTTTGCCAGGATCAGGCGGCTGGGGAGTCAGGTTGACGCAGGGTGCTGGTAAGGCCTGATTGCATTAGGTGGACAAACTAGCAACCACCACGAGTTAATACATTATGAAAAGGCTGCCTCTGTGTCATGATTGTATGTGGTCTCCAGAATATAGCATTGAGGTGTTTGGGGGTAAGGTCCTCTGTGTCCTTCCGGCCTGGTGGGCAGCGTTCTGTTTTGATGGTAACGAGCATCATGCAGAATCCGGAAGTGCTGGATTCTGTCCTTATATTACTGGAATAAAACAAATGGTGGGCTGGGGGAGGGGGAGTGATTTTCATATAGACAAGACACCTTCAGGGAACCCCAGACAAGGGGATTTTACCAGGCTGCTTCTTGCTGAGGCTGCTGTGCCACATTCCAAGGGTAGCAGAGAGATGCTTTGTGTGGCACCCCGCACTCTGCCACCTGTGGCTCAGCAATCCAAGATTCCTCTCCCCCAGCTTTTCATGGCGTTTAAGCTGCAAACGGATCATAAGGCACGTGAAATGAAGTTACTCCTAAGGAAGACTAAATTCAAGAAATAGATCACCAGACAGTTGTCAACCCTTCTAGCAAGAGGTGGGCAACCTCAGTGTGGCTTGAACTGCACTTCACAAAGAAATAACTAGAGACCCCTTTCCATAGATCCCAATATTGGCCGGTATGTTATGTTCTGCCCCTCTTCCTCCCTCAAACAGCAGGCTTGATCTGACAGACTAGATGAGAATTGACCCAAATCAGTGCAGACTTCTCGGAATGCAGGGTGACTAATTCTATCTGTTTTGGGGACTTTCCCAATCCTTTGAAAAATATTTTTTTTCCTTTGTGCAAATGAGTTAACAGGCTCTTCTAGTAATTATGCAATTTAACAATGTGATTTTATGTATGTAAAATATATATAGCGAGTTTATGATGAGGATAAGTGGGGCCATTCACCAAATTTCAATGAGATCTACAGGGATACTTTGCTTGATGCTGTTAAACATGTTTTAACATGGGGTGCAAGGGAGTGGGTGAGGGACAAAGACTCCGGCTTAAATCCTATTGCTAGTCCCAAATTGTGCAGATGAAGTTGGAGCCGTTGTTGAACGATGAGTAAATCCCATTTTGCTATGTAAATCCCATTTATTCAATATACTCTAGTATGGACTAGCATTAGTATTCTAGCCTATTTGTATCATGAGGAACTCATATGTTAATACTCTTCATTCAAGATTATTTTCTTCATTTTCCTTCAGCTTCCTCACCCTGATTTTTTAAAAAAAGCTACAGATGGTGGTAATTTACACTTTATATGAACTAGTTGGACCGATCAGGTATGGGTTTTTTTGTTTTGTTTTTTTTGGTAAACATGTGAAACTCCTTTGCAGGTGCTTTCCATCCTGGAACTTGTGCTGTTAAAGACTAGAGCAATCTCAGCCTCTTGCTTTCATGTTCCCTCTTTCTCTCGCCCACTCCCCGGATCATGATCGAACCAGCCAACCAGCCTTTTAAGGTGTGTTTAGAAGGGTGAAGAGCGAGTCTCTGATGGCCCTAGGGTTAGGAGGTCCTACCCAGCTGTGTGGTGGGTCGTGCTTAGTAGCTGATCCACCCACCCCCACCCCAAATTCTGTTTGCTGCCCCAGGCAGGGCAGCAAAAACTTTTCATTGGCTGACAAACACGAAACGCTGAGCCTCCGTTCAGTTTGGCCGGTCTCAGGATTTGCAGACCTAGGGCAGGAGGGTGTTCTGGTCTATATCCCTAGAAAAAGCAAAGCGTGCCCTGTGTTCCTATGAGAGGGGGCTGTCAAACTCTTCAGTGCAGTGTTGCTAGGTTATTGGTTCATTTCATGGTGTTTTTTAAAGATGCTTTGGCTTGCATGATGATGGTCCTTCAGCCTTTTCTGAAGCAGAGTCTGTCTTTGGAACATGTGGGGGGAACATCTGTTCTAAATGTGAAGGGTTTTTGTGTAGATTGTCTTGGCTTGCATAGGATTGTGAAGAAGAGCGGTGTGCTTCAGAGGGAAGAGCCAGTCAGTCATGCATGTCGTAGCTTCTGTTCAGTTTGGTGTTCATTGGGAAGGCCAGAGAGGCAGGGATGCTGGAGCACAAAATGCAGGTGTGTCATCCTTTTCGCCCTGGTATTTAGCCCTGATGGCTGAATGGAGGGCCACCTCTCCATCTCTTGACAATTAGGTTGTCTTGAAATTTCATGCATCTTTCACAGGGACTTCTGGAGGATTGGTTTCCTGCAGAATTAGACTTTAAATTAGTTTGTGGAGGGCAGCATTTGTAATGGTTTGGTTCCTGTGCCCATGAAACCACTGACCTCTTGTGTATGAAAACAAGCCAGTACTTAGCCCCTTGTTTTATTTGTGCAAATGTTAGATCCTAAACTTGGTCCTGAACTTAAGATCCGAGACGAAATCCTTGGGCTGAATCACAAAAGGAAGCTCATTGTCCACCGTGATGGGGATGCCAGGAGACGTGCTCTCCCTGAGGTGCAAAAGTTTGATGGTGCTGATCTCAACACTGCTGCAGGGAAATAGAAGCCAGTATTAGTAAGGGATTTCATCCTTAAATTGGACCAGCGCCCTTTCTTACTCCACTCATGTATTGTTAGTGCTGGAGAGAGCCTCGCATGCAACAGACAATTTGCTTGTAGAGGATGCTTGCCTCTGTACTGATGTTTTACACGGAAGCAAGAAATTTGCTTGGAACGGCATAAAAATGTTTTGAAGGCAAGCCCTGATTGAGAGTTAGCCTTCATTTTTTAGTAAAAGTGGGTGGGTGGAATATTTCTGGGTGGGAAAAAGTTACTGCTGGTAGATCTGCCTTTCTCTGCAACCTGTCTCAAGAAGGCCATTCGAATTTTTTAAACTTTCTTTTGGTGTAAATTGAAAAGGCACATCATCCATTTCCTAGAGGCTAGCGGTGCTTTTCCTGAGACAGACAAGTTCTCTCGATGCTTGGGGTGTGAGAGCTGTGTATGTGCACCCAGCTGTGTAACGTGTGTGTATGAGTGTCTTTGGGAGAAGGTCTTAACCGTTCTGACGTTGCCGGGGTGTTCAAGAGCTTCCACCAAAGTTAAGAGGAGGTGTTCTTTGCCTGACTTAGAGCTGCTGACGTGTGACTACAGAGCCCTCTTGAGAAGCAGAGTAGCCAGTAGTTGGGGCCCTGAAGGAAGGAGCTGAAGTGCTTGGAAGGACAGCAGTGGAAAGATGACTTCGCTTGGCATTTCTTCTGGCTGTGCAAGGCAGATGTAAAGGATTCTTTGGGCTTCAAAACAGGTTGACGGAATGGAGGTCTCCCCCGCTGTGCCTCGGGATCCTGCTGGACCATGTTAGTCAGCATTTCCAACACTTTGTGCAGCCAAAGAGTTGGGCAGTCATGCCCCCCCCCGGGAGTGTATCTTGCGTAGACTTTCTCTGTGGACATCTAGGTACTATCAACTTTAAAAAAGAAAGAAAAGAGAAAAAAAGGTCTTCTGGCTCCCTTACATGCTTTGAAACTCTGGGCTTCCCGTTGTATTAGGCTGAAAAATAGGACTCTCAGTTGGGGAAGACTTGATACACAGTGTTCACTGGCCAAAACCTTTGGGTTAGAAAACAACTGGGTTTTGTCCCCTTGGTAGTGATAGTCTGTACAAGTGGACTGCAGCTGCCCAGATCTTGGGAGTGAGTTGGAAATCGTAAGGTTTCCATCGGTGGCTATATGTGGCAAGAACCCCACTACCTGGCTGAATCTTTGGCTCTGGGAACTGTGGGTGGGTGTCCTTCTGTACGTAGGGTTGTGAGGACTGCAGCCTCTTCAAGGCAGCCATGCAGTGTTGTACGATGTGCTGCTTTAACCAGGCACATCTGTCTGAGAAGCACAAAGCCTCTTTTCCCTCCAGCAAACCCCTGGAGTGAGAATACAGGAGCAGTTCAGGCTAGAAACTTAGGCTTGTTTGATGGAAGATCTTGTTGGCTGCTGGTGGTGGGTGGCGTGGAAGGCACATTGTGTGAATATGGCCATGAACCCATTGCCCTGTGCTGAGGCCTGATGCAGGTATCTTGGTCCAAGGGTCTCCATCCAGACCCTTCTGCCCGAATACATTCAGCCTTGTAAAAACAAGCCTATTGCCACATCAGAAATCTCTGCCTTGCTCAGTGCAGCTGGGTTCAATCTTGGGAAGAGTCAAGCCCCCCAAGTAACCATCACTGGTGGACTGCCCTTCCTTTTCTCCTGAAAGAGGAGCCAGGCCATTAGGCGTAGCACTGGCTCTGTCGTTAGGCTGCTGACTCTCCCGAGTCCTGATGTGGGTGTGGATGGTTGGGATCCCAGCAGCAGCGACAGGTGAAGAGAAAGGATTGGCCTTGTCTCTTATGGATGCCGGTTAGAGCTTGTCTTCGTTATGGTCATGGTTAATTCTCTCTCAAAGCCAAAGAGGAGGCAGATACTCTTCCCAAGGGTTTCAGGCCTTCAGCGTCACCCTTGGGAAGAGTCCTGGGGACTGTTTTGGCCTTAGCTTTCAGAGAGAGTTGACCAGTGGAGGCTGAGAATCTGTGTAGCAAGCAAAGAAAGGATGGAGTCCTTTGAAAGTGGAAGCCGAGCGGGTGTAGATACTTCTGCGTTGCCAGGACAGGACATGGCAAAAGCCAGCATGCGAAGACTTGCACAGGGTGTGTTAGTGCCTCCCAGGGGACACCTGCCAGCTAGACTCACCACTGCCAGCACCTTTGCCTTCTGCTTCCGTTCTCATTCTTCCTCATCACCAACTCTTCCTCCTCCTCCTCCTCCACGGTTGCCCTGTACTTGCTATGGGACTCTGTCCGACTTCTACTTGGTAGCTGAGCCTTACCTGTCTAGTTCTGTGCTAGACGCCTAAAGATTGTAGCATGCTTCTCCCTGCCAGGACGTGGCCACTGGCAGACCACAAACCTCCTTACAGTATTCACTGTGGGTAATTTATTTAACTAGCGAATGTAGAGTTTAAAGTAATTTAAAAAAAGAAGAAAACTAATGGTTTGTTTGCAAGATTGTATGTCCTTCGTACTTGGCCTGATTTTCATTATTTGTGTTTTTTTGTTCTTTATTTTGTTTTGGTTTTGGTTGTGGAGAGAGGGGTTCTCTCTTGGACGTTGGAATCCAGGTGGAAGCTCCTGCTGATGCAGAGGAGAAGAAGGTGTGGGCTGGGTTGGATGGCGTTTCGGTCTCCAGGCACTTTTCTATCGCAGGGCTGCGGCTTACATCATCACCACCCACAGGTTATCTGGGGAGACCTGGGGCGAGGACCAGCAGCCATTTGGGGGGGGGTTTGCTCCAGCGCTCCCATCAGTTCCACCCCGTGTCTTCCCCTTTTTTGTGTGAGCACTAAACATATACCTAAATGGCTTTTTAAAAATGAGGAATGGGTTAAATGTTGTTGGGAATGGTTTCTTTTGTTCCTTCGTGGTCTTTGTTTGTTTGAAGTTTCTGTATGTAACGTAGTTTAAAAAATATTGCCAAACCATGCTGTCTCTGTGTGTGTGTGTGTGTGATTGATTGACCAAACTGGGGCTTCTTTCCAGCGCTTGGCCAGAGACGGGAGGCTGTGTTGGGCGTGGGCTCCCAAAGAGTACCTCCCGCCCTGTGTCTGGGGCGCATCCGGGGCAAGGCCTGAGCTGTGGTGCCTCAGCATCGTTGAGCAAAACTCACTATTCTGGAAATGAGATCTATTGGTCCCTCGTTGACGGAAAAGATTTGACGGTATAAGAAGGCTTCAGAAACCAGTGGGTCAAAAAACGTAACTGGAGAACAGTCCATGTCCTCTTGGCTTCTTTTTTAACCCCACTCACGTTTTTTTGTCCAAAACCCAAAGTATTCTGTTTCCCTGAGACATTCAAACTCTTCAAACACCCTGGAGATTTTTTTTGGGGGGGGTGTATTCAAGAGCAGGAAGGGCTTCAACCCTCAGTCGGATCAGATGTACAGGAGCTGTGCTCGTTGTGTTCCCTCCTCCATCAGCCACCTGGGAATCAAGGCGGTCCTGCTCCAGCCCAGTGGCTGATGCCACACTGGGGGCTGCTTGCGTTGCCCCAGAAGTCCCCTTTTTCAGAGGGGGCCAGCCATGCCAGTCCCTATTCCTTGGGCCTTTTGTCAAGTTCCAGCCTTGTGCTGTGGCCTTAAGGCTTTGGCTTGGGTTGCGTTTAGCTTTTCTGCCTGGTCCAGAATCCAGTAAGCGGCGGCCCATTAGAAGAACCTTCCCTGGAAGCCTGAGAATGCCCCCAACCAAAGCCTTTTCTTAGTGTTGCTCCTTTTTAACTTCTTCTAGTAAATACTCCCAAGGATCCAGGAGACCCATTGCCGGATTCATAGGTTGTGTGGCAATGTCTGTACAGGCATTTTATGTGCTCCTGAATTACTTCCAATTCACTCCATGGCAACTTTAAAGCAGACTTCCTTTTGACCGGGAATGGGGAACCAAAGACGAGGGCTACGAAGTGTTCCCATTCAACATCTCGAGTTCTTGGGTTCTTTGCAGCAGAAAGGCGGGATAGAAATATTTTTAATGAATCATGTATTTAAATAAATAGAGGCCTGTATGTTCCCCACCCTCTTCTCAAAAGGACAGGTGGTACTTGGTCAGTCTTGGCCTGTGGAAAGGCATGTGACCCTAGCTTTTAGGGCTACCGCCGGTGGTGAACTTTTTTTCCAGAATCTTAGAACGGTCAAAAGATTAAATGTGCTATTCGGTCCTAATTGTTCTGGGAAGATTTTGAAAAACGGGGTATGACACTCTTAAAAGTCCGTGCACAAGGTTTGCTGAAAGGTATTGAACGTCAGGTGGATTTTACCAGAAGGCAGAGACCCGACTCGCCAGTTCTGAGGAATGAGGCTCTGCTTGCAAGGAGCAGGCTTACCTTTCCCAGCCGCCTTGATTTTTAGAGCTGAATTGAAAACATCCTTAGTTTAATTGATTCCCAGTGTTTAGAGCAAAAGTTACAAGAGAGAAATAAGCAAACCTAAGACATCCTTTTGTGAAGGGTGTCGGAGGTTCGTCAGAGAGCATGTTGGTGTAGGAACGTACTCTGAGCCAAATGGTATACACCGTCCCATTAAACTATGAAACGGTTTAATTGGGCATTGTGGGGGGGGGAGATGTGTGCCTTCCCTCCTTGATACAAACTGGTGTGGGATGAGTATTTTCATATTCTGTCCCTGACTGGTAACCCCTTGAACAAATATTTGAAATGAACACCAGTCTCCGGGTAAAGCAGCTGCATTAGAGTTTGAACATAGTAAAGCTGACTCATGAAGAAGACAGTCCCGCTGGTGCAGCTGGATCTGCTTAGATGACACTCTGAGATCTTCCCTGCTTCTCCCTGCAAGAGCCTTTCACCTGGAAAGGCAGAGGGTGACCCTGGCCTTTTCTGTGGGCTGAGCATTTTTCCTTGCTGTTGAGCTTGGCGTTCCCTCTCTCCCTTTCTGGCCTGCTTTTTGCCACCTCATCTTAAAAGAAGTGAGAGGAGCAATTCACCTGTTTTGTGGCCCTGGTGATTTGCTCTAAAGCACTTTTGTCCTTGAATATGTCATATGAAACCACAAGGTTTCAGCCACTCAACGGTACGGGAGGGGGTTTCTGCTGAGCGAGGGCTGCCTTCTTGCCATGCTAATTCCCTGTTGGAAAACATGACTGCTCGCAGGGGTTTTTTGGAAATAGTTGCCGAAAAAGGGACCGGCCCAAAGCGTCTCTGATGCAGCCCAAACAGGGCTTGTCTTAGCACGAGACCCTTGGAGAAAGAAAGCGAGAGCAGGCAGCAAACATCTGTCCAGATGCAGGGGCTTTTTTTCCTTTTGTGCAAAGTTTCCCAAACTCTGAGTGTGAAACATGTAGGTGAGTGATATCTTTGAAGGCAAAAAGATAAAGAGAGGGAATAGGATCAATTCATTGAAGCCCATGCTTTGCCTCTAATCTAAGGATGGGGGAAGCTGACTGACGCACACAGGAAAGCCTAACCGGGGAGGGCACCTGGGTCTCTCTGTTTACATTGAGGACGCAGGTACACGCATGCATGCCACGTATCTACCATGATTGGGCTGGACCATACCTGCTGTAGGCACTAGAGATAGGCACAAACCGATTCGCCTCAGTTCGTAAAGGTGCTGCTCCTCCCCTCCCTGCCTCCTCAGGCTCAAACAGCCTGTCAGCTAATCTCCCAGTCACGAGCAAGAGCACAGACTTGTCTGAGTGGGAGGGCAGAGGAAGAGAAGCCTGCGCTCTTGCTGGGACTGGAAGATCAGTTGAGAAGTTGGGAACAGCAAGCAAGCTGGGCCTGGCGAATGGCTGAATCGGGTGAGGAGGCAAGGGAGGGGACAAACCCAGTTCGTGCATACTTTTCACGGATAGCTTTCAGGGACAGAGAATAGATAAGAAGAAACGGAACTGGCAGCCTATGGCAGTCTCTAGATCTGACAGTGGTTCCCAACCTTGCATCTCCAGATGTTCTTGGACTGCAGGTCCCAGAAAGTCCTGGCCAGCACAGCGAGTGGAGAAGGCTTCTGGGAGTCGTAGTCCAAGAACATCTGGGGACCACTAGGAGAAGGGCTGGTTTGGTTCCAGCCGAGTCGTAGTCCAAGAACATCTGGGGACCACGAGTCTAGGAGAAGGGCTGGTTTGGTTCCAGCCATCCATTTCGCTGGGCTTCCATAAGCTGGAACCGACGGGTGGAGCAGCCCCGTTCCCTTAGTTTTACAAGTTAACCTGGAACTGCAAAACAGACTTCCGAGGGATTCTTGAGTGTGTCCCCCCACCACCACCTTTTGTTTCTAAGCTATTTGCACTCCTGTGTTTCCTGGGTCCACGTGGGTCTTTGAAACTTCGCTCATGTTTTTCGTGGACCCCTCTTGGCACTCCTCTTGCCAGCTTAACTATTCTGAGTAGCAATTATGGAGCAGAAAGAACTTTTGCAGGCTTTACAGAAGGGAGGGGAAAATGCAGAGGAACATGCCGTTCCCTGTGGCTGGATGCAGGGGCGGTTTGTACATAAACCCATGTAGATTGGGAAGGAAGGGGGTGAGGGTGTGGAAGGCAATGTCCTAGGAGGCAAAAAAGGTAAGACAGCTCCTGCAAGCACCTTGAAAGCCAAGAGGCTTCCTGTCCAAGAAGCAGCCGTAGACCAGAGCCCACTGAGGCTCAGCAACCCTGAGTTCAAATCCTTGATCGACCGTGGAAACTCAGTGGGAGTGAGGAGTAGCACTGGTAAAACCATCCCCCGACAGCCCTACCAGGCTGTTGATTCTGGCCATCGGTCAGCTGCGGGGGCACCTCTTCTGCTGCCATTTTGGACTGAGTGGCGGTGGTGGTGCTGGCCAGTTCTTTCCAAAGGACGACCGCAGAGTGGTCCGGTGGTCCAGATAGGTGGGGTATAAATCAAATAAATAAATAAATAAATAAATTTGAGCCCAAGCTCGGAAGCTATCTCTCTTTCCCAACTGTCCTGCCATCACTTCTGGCTGGTTTTCCTTGCCTCTGGCATCCTGACCACATCCCTGTAGGGCAGCTTAGGCGAGAGGCCCTGATCCTGATCCCATTGCCTTTCAGCCCCTGTATCACCTTCCCACGATGGGAGGGGGAAATAATTCGTTCATTCACACATTCATTCATTCAAGTTCTATACTGCCCATCTAGCTACAAGGCCACTCTGGGCAGTTAACATAATATTTATATATTTAAAATGTTTTACCCCGCCTTTCTCCTTGGAATAGTCCCAATGTAAGACAATCTATACTGCCCATCTAGCTACAAGGCCACTCTGGGCAGTTAACATAATATTTATATATTTAAAATGTTTTACCCTGCCTTTCTCCTTGGAAAAGTCCCAATGTAAGACAACATTTAAAGTTGAAAACAAGGGAGTCTACCAGGGTGGTTAATATTAAAGCAAAGAACAAGAAGTAAAGAGAGGCATCTTCCATCATGTAAGGGTTAAGGACAATGAGTATGCAATCATAAAAAAAAAGCCACTCTGAAAAGTGGAAAATGCAAACTTAGAAAACACAACCAGTACTAAAAAATCCAGTCAAAGCAGTAATACATAACCATGGATCTTAAAAGATAAAATCCCACACAGGTAAGCTAGTTACTGTGGGAAGGCTTGCCTGAAGAGAAAGGTTTTCAGCACACAACAAATAACACTTTAAACAAAATTCACACACATAAGAATATGAGAAATCGAATCGAACATATCAACCCACTTAAAACGAGGGGGAAAAACGAGATGAAAATATGAAAACAATATAAGAAGAGAAGGGCGGGG